CAACTCAGAAGTGCTGGCCAGAATAACGAGGGGCCTGGCCCAGGCCACGGGCTCCCATCAGGCCCAGAACAATGTGCTCCACTCCGGTTCCTTGTTACTGGCACCAGCCAGGCACACGGGAGGCACTCAGAGTTGCTGTCAGATAAATTCAAAACTCATCAGTGCATGCAATACCAAGCTCTGTGCAGGCAAGGCTGAGGCAGACAGAGAAGGGCCCGGTGGGTCTGAGGAAGGAGGACGACAATGGCCTGGGTCCACCCAGGCACTAAGAACAGAGGGAACCTCATCGCAGGAGCCCAGCAGCCCCGAGTGGATGGTCAGCCCAGACTCTCCAAATCAGGATCCTGCACAGGCATGGAGCGCAGGATCCCAGCTTATGAATGTGTGCCGCGACAATCAGCCTGTCTTTTCCAAATGAGTCACAACGCAGCTAAAAACGCTTTGTATATTTTTACCACAAAAATTCAGTTTCCTGATGCTGATTAATTTAATTACACTATCCTCTGGAGCAAAGAACTTTAATTTGCATAAAGAAACTTCCAGGCATTTGCACTTTTGGTAAATGATGAGATGTTTTAGAGAACTTAAGTAAATTAAACCACTAAATAAAATTAAATGAAATTACGTAAATGATAGAATGATCTTCACAGAAGTGGTACCTTCATATAAGACTCACTCACCTGTTTTAAAATAACCAAGGAAAACTGCTGAAGTTACTAACAAACTCCACATAAGAGCCTGTTAAGAAGGAAGCTTCCTCTAATGTTAACTACATTCACTTCTGTCCCTCTCCCACGAGGGAACAGGTCCTGTGCGTTCCCTCACTTTACTGGTGAAGGTAAATGCAAGATCAATAGAGTCTGGCTTAAAAATATTAACAAACAAACCAAAACTGTTCTTTTAAAATTTGTAAAATAAAACAAAACAAAACAAAACCCAAGAAGCTTGAGTCTACTACGGACAACTCTGCAACTTCTCACACTATTCACCATCACCCAAAACACCAAGGGGACCCCAGAAGTGAGCAGCAGAAATCACTCACTGGAGCTGGGAGGTGCCTGGGCTCACCGGCTCCAATCTTTTCCTGCGAGGGTCCACGTGCTGGGCAAATTGTACTCAGGGCTCCTACTGGGCACATATTTGAGCAAGTACAGGGCAGGTACTGCCCAGATAGGGGTGACAAGAGGCCAGGGCAGGAGAGGTGGGACCCGCCCTGAGCCACTTTTCTAAAAGCTCCTGGGCAGGACTCCTGATGCCAGGGAGAAAGCAGAGCCTGGGGGTATGAAGAGGTCAAGTTCGAGGTGGGCAAAGATTAGCAGAGACGGAATATGTGGGCCATCAGACAGCTCCATCCGGCCTGGCGATCTTGATCAGAAGCTGTCCCCTTGCTTGATTGAAGACTCTCCCAGCGGGAGAATCAGAGAAGCTTATACAGAACTCAGCTCTTCCTGCCAACCATGACAACCCCTGCGGCAAGCCCAAGGGCACCCTAACACAGCACTCAGCAAGAACTCAGCCATGACATGGTCCCAAACCCCGGATGGGCTGTCATGGAAGGATTTGTAGAGCCCACCCCGGGGCGGCCGCACCCTCTGGGATGCCCCGTGGAGAGGACGTGGAGTAGCTATGGAAGATCTCCCCGTCCTTCTAGGTAGAATGAGGCCTTCTTTCTTTGGGCACATCACTGTGAACGGTTCCATTCTGTCTTCATCTTAGCTAGCACATCCTTCATCATGCCAAGCTCCAAGGCAGCAGGGTCCATGCTGCAGCCGCTTCCTACTCTAAGGGTCTGAAAGAGGACCTGGTACATAGTTGGGGCTCAAAGGTGACAGCTGAGGTAGAGAGGTTGGAGAAAGGTGACATCGCATGAATTTCATGTGCTGCTGGGAGTGGTGAGCTGAGGGTTCTTTTCTTCCCGGGGTGGCTCCCCTGCAGAATTCTTCCATTCCTCATTCTTTTCAGAGTCCTGTGACCACCAGCCTCTGCAGGGTGCATCTGCAAAAGAGCCAAGCCACAGCCACGAGGGGAGCCCAGCCTCGTGTGAGCCTGTGGACATAACGAGGTGTGGACTTGACCTGCTCAGCTGCCCTGTCCCAGTGCACCATCCTGCAGCACTGAAGGTCTGCGGCAGATTCGGCCTGCAGTCACAGGGGCTGGCTACAGGGGTGTCCCAACACAGGGCAGCAGCCCCACTGGCTCAGTTCCTCACCCTCTCGGGAGGTGGCGCCGGGGACGCTGGTGTGCTGTGACAAGCACCAAGGCCACATCACACAGTCACTCTCAGACCTGAAGGCTCTGGACACCATAGCTGACCACTCCTGCCCATTAAGTAGCCACCAAGGAGTTACTTAAAAAGGAAACTCAGAGAGGTGGAAGAAAGGCTACTAACTTATCTAAGTGGGGATTTTAGAATGCTTAGGCTGTAATGCCTGTCAAGAATAATTCTTCCTTTCATGCGGATGTTTAAACATCTCTGCTTTTTCCTCCCCTGTCCCTCCTCCACCACGAATCTTCTTGCCAGCGAATGTGATGACATGACCAAAGAGCTTCCAATCGCTTCACTGTCCCCAGTTGCCTTCTGAAAAGCTGTATGCTTTCTTCTTTTCTATGTTGACTGAGTTCTTCCTGGTGAATGAAGCACTTTATGTCGGCCCTGCACGTGGGGCGCAAGTCATCTGTTTTTATACTACTTGGGAACCCTCAACTGGATGCTGGTCCCATGCTACTTCTTCAACTTTGGATGAAAACAGAAAGGACATCAGATGTCTCTGGTAATGGCAAGAAATGGGAACACCCACCTTTGCCCTCTGACTTTGGATGAAACAGAAAGGACATCAGATGTCTCTGGTAATGGCAAGAAATGGGAACACCCACCTTTGCCCAGAAGCACCTCCCACTGTGATCCTGGACAGAAAGAGCTCACGGGTAGCGGGAAGTGCCTGCGCTCATGACCAGCAGCACCAAGGAAACACGCTTTCCATGAGATCAAAGTCAGAACCGTGTGCGGACCAAGAAATGTCTCTTCAAGCAGAATTGGAAAAAAAAAAAAAAAGAACAATGACTTTCTACAAGTGGTGCTAACTGAGAAACACCCTTCCTAGGTAGCAGGAGGTGCCTGCGCTCATGACCAGCAGCACTAAGGAAACACGCTTTCCATGAGATCAAAGTCAGAACCGTGTGCGGACCAAGAAATGTCTCTTCAAGCAGAATTGAAAGAAAAAAAAAAAAAAAAGAACAATGACTTTCTACAAGTGGTGCTAACTGAGAAACACCCTTCCTGCTCTTGCTTGGCCCAGCAGACTTAAGGAATTTGGCAACAAACACAGACACCACTGCAGTATTCTCATGGGGAACTCAGATCCCAAGAAAAACACCAGCAGGACAAATTCCTGGGTTTCCTTATTCTGCTTACGAATTTGGACAACCCACACGGGTGGAGGCCAGTTTTCTTGCCAGTCGCTGAGAGAGCCAGATGATATTTTCATGGTCTTATTTTAGGTTGGGTAACTTTGTAAACAACCTCAGTGACAAATCCATAGACAGCTTGTCTGCATCCTATTTGAAGCAGAAGGTCATCAGGGAGGTAGACATCCCAGATGTACTTCGGGCATGTGACAACGTGCAGAAGCCCAGCCGGCGCTGGCTCCCAGACGAGGATCACCTCCCTCACCTTTCGAGTATTGAAAGTGCTGTAGTGGAGCCTGCTTGGGAGGCTGAGGTCAGCATGGGAGCCGCACTTGGAAGCTAGCAGTTATTAGAAAAGTGTCTGTCTCCTGAGAACATGCACCTGCATGGCACAGGACACGCGAGTTTGCAGAGAAAGGAGGCTATCTGCCTATCATGCTTGAGAACAGCAAAGGTGGGCAGAGGGGAGCCAGCAGAGAGACGAGAATGATTCTAGCAGAAAGGCAAAGAACTTCTCAACTACTTGTTCAAAAGAGGGAAAGTCAAGGTCGCAGGAAGACTCTCAGCACTGTGGCTGCAATCACAGGCTCTGCGTCCTATGCCATGCCACACCCAACGCTCCCACATGTCTGGGCCATGCCCCAGCTCTACCAGTTTCCTCAAGTTCGGCCTCAGTTTCCTCAAATGCAGAACAGAAATAACACTTGTACTCATTCAGATGTTGGAGTGAGGAATAAAGGAACATATAAATAAACAAGTGAATAAACATATAAACCACTTAGAACCAGTGCACCTGGCACATAGAAATCGTTCAGGAAATATCAGATGTTGTTGTTGTTCTAACGATGATCACACACAATCCCTCAGTGGTGCACCACTGGGGGTTCCCCCAGAGCCCGTTCCCCATCCCGGCTCCCAGCCCTGCCACGAGGAGAGAGGGGCTGCCAATCTGTTTCTCTGCCAATTTCTCTGGTAAGCCAACTTATTGGCTATCTGACCTTGGACAAGTTACTGAAACTCTCTGTGCCTGTTTCCTAACATGGAAACAATGGCTGTATCATATCTACTTCATGGACCTAGTTTAAGGTAGAAGCTACAAGTTCAAAAGGGTGGATATCACCTTCTGGGTCAAGTGAGAATTAGAATTTTTCTCTCTCGAGCAGATCGTATACAAAGTCAGGCCTGCAATATGGAAACTCTTCAACTATACCGTACTCAAGTTCAAGTGCCTGAGTAAACTCAACGTTTCAACAATTAACTTACCTAGAATTTTTGGGTAATAAGGATGATCTGGTGGTGAAATTTTTTCAAAGAAGTAAAATTCATATTTAAGCACCAAATTATTATTACTACTATTATTACCATTTACTATTTTTATGAGACCCTTTGTAACACATACAGATACTTCCCTAACTAAGTGGAGTCCTGGCCAATAAATTTGAAAGCTTCAAAAGACAATGAGTACAATGGAAACAAATGGAGAACCAAGACAAGAGATCCCACAGTTTCCCTCCTTTCTTCCCATAGTAATGAGACAGCACGTCCATCTGGACCCCACAGCTGAGTAGCCTGGGCTCCAGCCAGAGCTCACTCACCTGCTTCGCGGCGGCCTGGCTCGGAGGTAAGGGGCCCGGTGCGAGCACAGGGGGGCTCCCGGGGCCACAGAGCTCAGGGAAAGGGTTGGGGATGGCCGGCAGTGACGAGGTCTTAAACTGCTGGTCTTCTTCCTGAAGGCGCCTGGGAGAAAAGAGGCAAGTGCTTGTTAAAAGCTGCCACTCCCACGTGACCGGCAATTACACTTTTGGGTATGTGCCCAAAGAGCTGAAAACAGGGCTTCTCAGAGATATTGGTGTACCCGTGTTCACAGCAGCATCATTCACAACAACCAAAATGCAGAAGTAACCCAAATGTCCACCAACTGGTTAATGGACAAAGAAAACATGACATACACATACAATGGAATATTATCCAGCCTTAGAAGAGAAGGAAATTCTGACATGTGCTACAACATGGATGAACCTTAAGGACAGTATGCTAATGAAATGAGCCAGTCACAGAAAGAGAAATACCATGTGATTCTACTTATATTAGGTATGTAGAACAGTCACACTCATACGAAGTAGACCATGGTTGCCAGGGACTGAGGGGTATAGAGTTTCAGTTTTAGCAGATGAAAAAGTTCTGCAGATTGCACAATTGTGAGTGCATGTAAAAAAATGTTAAAAGGTGCCATTCTCAAACAAAGTTGTTGCCTCCCTCCTTCCTAAAACACCCGGGGCGTCGCAGTCCTGAGTTGCACATGCATCTCAAATGATGCTCAACACACTAGGGTGGGGGCATCTGCTCCAAACATCTCACCAGTTTAGTTCAATGAATACCTGACGTGTGAAAAAGTTTTATGAGTAAGAGCATTTCATGAGAACAAGTGTTTTTCAATGTCCTTGAAATGAACATTTATCTAACCAAATGAAAATAGTAGAACCTCCATGTGGCCTCGCCTGAATTGTGGAATATTGAATGCTCATTTATACAAAAAGGTTGTTGATACTGAATCACAGATGGTACACAACTTAGGATGGTTTGACAATGATATTTTGACTGTGCAATGGTGCCAAAGGGATAGGTAGTGAGTAGAAAGCCTATCCGTGGTGTTTTTCACTTTCAGCATTCAATAAATTACATGAGACAGTCAATACTTTGTTATAAAGTAGGCTTCATGTTAGATCATTTTGCCCAGCTGTAGGCTAATGTAAGTATTCTGAGCACATTTAAGGTAGGCTAGGCTAAGCTACGATGTGTGGTAGGTTAGGTGTATTAAATGTATTTTCAACTTACGATGGGTTTATCAGGACGTAACCAACCCCGTCATAAGTTGAGGACGTGTAATTGGAAATAAAAGCTTCATGTTGTCTATCCCTACCAGAGCACCTTAGAAATAACCTGCTGAATAAATCTACACCACCTCTATACTTCCTGGCACTTCTCCAGGGACACCTCCTTCTTCCTCCCAAAAATGCAAAACTCACTTGTCATATAACTAAGCAAAACACGCACAGGATGAGGAGTCAGATGCAATTATGAAAACAGCAGAGAAAGCAAGGTCAAAGTCAAAGCAAAAACAATGCAAACCACCATCTACTTCCTGCCCTCATCTCCAGGGCTTTCCTGGGGGCATGGCCTCCTCCATTCATCCCTGAGGCTGACACGCCCATACACAGACTCCTGCCCTCAAGGAGAAGGGAGCAGACCTCAAGCTGCAGTCTGGTCCCTCACCTTTGCTCAGTGTTCCTGATCCTCCTCCTTGTTTAAATACACCTCAGAAACCCCTCCTGTGCACAGTCATCATTAAAAAAAATTTTATTTTTACTATTTTCGCAATTTGATAAAATCAATGATCCATTAGCTTTCCTGCGGGGGTTGCCACTAGGGAAATGCACTCTGTGACTATTTTACCTTTTCTTTTTACCAACTTACCCTGATTTTTAAAGGAAAACCTGTCTAGCCATTCCGTGTGGACCAGAAAAGGATGCACTGATGTAAAAATACAAGAACTCACACGGCATGAGGGAAACCAGCCTTGTGAAACATGGGAAAACCATTCCTATAATGGCTTGACAACCATGCCAGAAGGTTTATTTCTATTGTTAACAAATTTCACTCTTCCCATAACATCTCCAGCCTTGGCAAAACGTCCAAATGACATGCCTGACTGTCGCTGCACGGAAGGAGACAGAAAGGGGGGCGGCCAGCACCACCTTCAGTGTATTCCAGCCCTCCGCCCCTATCCAGCAACTTAACCCCAAGAAGCAACAGTTTTATCTTTGACTTACAGAACCAGATGCTGACATTCTGACATTCTAGTTGCTCACAAAAGCCTCTCCCTTTATTAAGTTGTTCTGAGCATTTAAAAAAGTCCTGTGTGACTTTTTAATCATTCACAGAAACCACCTAAAGCAAAGCCGAGGGGCATCACACAAAGATGGGAACATACCTGCTAATGAGGCCCACAATAAAAGACATACCTCCTACCATTACAAGAAGACTACAACCTGAGGAGGGGAGCTAAGATTCAGGGACCGTGCCCAGGACAGCAGAGTGGGTGAGGTGCAGGTGGCTTCTGCTTCTCTGTGCCCCTAGATGAGGACATGCTCGTGGCCCTCCTGCTCTCACCTGAGCCCTCCTTCTCCTGCAAGAACTGGCTAAGCTGTCAGGTTGTCTGAAGCCTCCTCTACCCTCTCCAAGCTTTCGCTCTGTCCATACCCGTGTCCATCCTAGCTCTCCGCAGAGTGCAGGGCAGTTACCAGGGAGCTCATATGCAGGATGGACCCGGGGCACACTCCTCAGCCTGGTCGGCAGCTGCTTTCCCACTCACCAGGTTTAGACCAAGTTACCCACCCATCCCGCCCCATGCCTCAGTTTCCTTACCTGGGAATTGAGGGTAATCCACACCACCTGCCTCATAGGGCTGTGGTGTTAATCACACCAGTTAATAAACAGGAGCTCCACAGAGCCTACACATAGCAAGTGCCCAACAGTGCCCATCCCGCCCCATGCCTCAGTTTCCTTACCTGGGAATTGAGGGTAATCCACACCACCTGCCTCATAGGGCTGTGGTGATAATCACACCAGTTAATAAACAGGAGCTCCACAGAGCCTACACATAGCAAGTGCCCAACAGTGCCTCACTTTACAAAGGAAATCTTGAGCGGTCCTATCCTGGCCTGCCCTTTTTTTTCAATCCCCTGAAGGTAAGAAACAATCCTACTTATCTGAGAGAACATCAGTGAGTAGAGGCTGGGCCCAAGGAACAGCACTGCTCACCTTGCAGGGAGAGGGTTTTGCTGCCCTCAGAGCAGGTCTGCCCCAGTCCGTCCTGGGGACATGGCACAGCCAGCCCCACAGCATATGCAGGCCAAGCCCAGCCAGAACTCTAGGCTCAGAGATCCTGGGCAACCAACCTGAGCAGGTAGCAGACTTTTCAGCAACACCATCCTCCCCGCGACCCACTCATGGGCACCTTCACCATGAGGCCTGCAACCCCTCTCTGAGGGCCCCTCAGGGTTACTGTGACCCAGAGAAGCTCACAGGAGAAAAAGGATCTTGCTCCAGACTTCAATCATTAGGAACAAAGAGCAAGAGGGCCACATTCTAGAGAACAAAGTTGGACAAATGCTGGGAGAGGGGTCACTTTGCCATTGACGAATATGACAGAAAGTGGGACTCCCAAGAGGCAGCTGACCACCCTCTCTGCAGACATTCTGGGTTTACTCTGCTTCCCAGGAAAGAGCAGGCCACCATGCGAGATGATTATCTGGGCAACATGTGACTCGTAATGTCAGACAAGAAAAAACCTTTTAGAAGTTTCTAGAAGCATAGAGAATCCCAGCAAAAGCCATGTAGCTCCCTGGAAGATGCCGTGCTGAGGACAGAGCAGCCCTAGAACCCCAGCCAGGGTCCACTGCACATCCTCCACAAAAGCCCAGAGAGGCAGCGCAGCCACAGGTCCACCCTGCGCCCAGCCTCCCTGTCGCCATCCACACCTTGCAAACCCATCAGAGACCACTCATATGGGGGCAGGGCCAGAGCGGCAGGTCCCAACAGCTGTCCCTTCAACTTGCTGTCACCCAGCCTCCAGTCCCCTCCTCCAAGCACTCAGGACAAAACCCCAGGCGCCTCCCCACTCTCAGCCCCCAAATCCCCTTCAAAATCCACGTGCTCACAGAACGCTGTGGCTCCCTCCTCAGCAATGCCCTCCACTCCATCCTTCCTCGTTAGCCTTGGTAGGAACAACACTCTCTTTGGTCTGGGTGTCCTGAGACAGCTTCTGAACCAGCAAAAGCCCTGCCGATCCTGCCCGCCCTCTACCCTCCTGCCCTCCGGCCCCAGGCAGCCAGAATTATCTTGTCACAACCCAAATCTAGTCTCGTCATTCCCCTGTTCACAAATCCCTGCAGCATCTGTCCCCACCTCCACTGCCATGTCTCTTGTGCTCAAGACCCCTCTCGCCCCGTCTATCGGCTGCACTAACCCTTCAACATTGGCTCAGAGACCTGCCTCTGAGGAGCTCCCCTCTACATCCCCTGCTTGGTCCTCCCTCAGCATCCCTATTTCTACAGAGAAGATGCACCTCCACGTGCCATCCCCAGGGACTGTATTAAAAATGCAACTCTGGGCTGGGTCTGGGGTTGCACATTGCTGACAGGTCCCCAAAGGACACGGTTGTTGCTGGTCCTCTGACCCCAATTCACTGATGGCACAGCTGTCCCCTCATTCTTCCCAGAGCACTTCTCCTCTGACAGTCTTCCTGCACACCACTCCAGCCAGCACGGTGCCCGTGCTCTGAGAGAGGTTCAGAACTGAACTGGGTACTGCGTTGTAGGAAAAGTGAAAGTAAATGGTCAGGCTCCCTGGGTGTGGGGGTTGGCAGGAGTTGCTGCAGAGATTTGGAAGTTTGGAGTCTTACCGAGCATTTGATGTAAATGATAACTGTGCATGTGCGCCCAGGTATTCCTGGGTTGTTTGACTCGCACCCAGGTGTTCCTGGGTTATCAGACTTGAGTATAAAGAATGAGTGGCTCTGATCTACAGTGCCCCCCACCCCGGGAAGCCCCCGAGGGGGCCATGGTGAGACCGCTACTGCTGCTGGAGGCCGTTGCTGCGCGAGGCTGCTGTAAGCTGCTGCTGAGGAAGCTGAGGACTGAATTCGCTTTGGAGTGAACCTGTCAACTCCATTAACGGCTCCTGGGATCCTTCCCAATTACCTAGTTCACAACCTGTATGTGAGGAGTCTGTGACCCAGCCAGCATGTGAGGGGTCTGTGACCCAGCCTGGCATGTGAGAGGCCTATGACCCAGCCTGACACGTGAGCAGTCTGTGACCCAATCCGTACAACAGGTTTGAAGGGTCTGAGCCCTAGCCTGACACGTGTTCAACCTAAGCACTCCCATATGGGCTCAGCATCTGTTATCAGATGCTCTTGAGTTCCCACAGCCAACACCATCCCCCCACTGCTATGGAAAGGCAGAGAGCAGTGTCCAGTCTCCATTCTGGGAGGCCCACCTGACAGCAAGGATGTGCACAGGCTGTGAGCGCTGCACCCGCTGCCGTGGGGACGCCTGCGGCTGCAGGGTCCGCGCTCCCGAGGCTGGCGGCTGGCTGCGGGCATGCTGGCCATTCTGAAGCAGGGGTACCGTGTCCGACTGCATGCCACAGGCTGAGTGTAAGCTCTCCAAGGATGAGTTCATGCCCTTCATCAGGGATTCCAGGTCCACTTCATCCTCTGCACAGGGAAAGGCAAGAGCAAAAGAGAAACATTAACTGCAGCAGTGACAGATCACACTCAAATGGGCATCCTGCTGATCAGGCTCCCGAGCTCTTTTAAGCTATCATGTAAGGGGCGAAGAAGCATACTCGAGAGAAATATGAACACCTGTGAGGAACCATGGGTATCACACTTATTAATAATTATTGGTATTCCAGAAACAATTTTACAATCGCAGTCCACTTGTCTCTACAGCAGACGCCGTCCGGGGCACCTGCTCACCCCTACTCCCCTCCCCATTGCCACCGGGTAGGTCGCACCCAGCTGTGATGGCACAGCAGGACCCCACTGCCCCAGACTCAGGTGACTGGATAGCAGGTGGACAGGGAGCCCTAAAGCAGGCCGATAAGGATTCTCCCTTCCCTGGGATTCCAGAAGCGGCACAAAGAGACAGGAACAGAACAGCACCACCACTGACCACCAGCCCTGGCCCAGGAAGGCCATTCAGTGGTTGAAGCTGTAGCAGAGAGCCTCACCATGCAGCTACTGACAAAACCTGTGCCTGCAGACTTCCAGGTGCCCTTGGCTCCCCTCGACTGGCCCGAGGGCCAGAGGAAGCCTGTCTTCACAGAAGAAGGCACATGGCAGGCACAGGGACAAACTGTGATGGCAGAGAGCAAACAAGAAGAAAATGCTCAGGAAGGGACACATGAGCACACAGAGACCATGATAGTTCATTTTATGTGTCAACTTGTCTGGGCCATACTTCCAAGTTTTTAGTTAAACACCAACTAGATGTTGCTGGAAAGGTCTTTTTTAGATAAGATTAACATCTAAATCAGTAGTCTTTGAGTAAAGCATGCTGCCTTCTCTGGGGTGGGTGGGCCTCATCCAATCAGCTGAAGGACTGAATGGAAAATGACTGGCCTCCCCGGAGGAAGGTGGGATTCAGCCTGGAGATGTGAACTGCAGGTCTTCCCCGGGCCTCCAGCCTGCTGCCCACTCTGCAGATGTTGGACTTGCCGTTCCCCACGATCTCATGAGCTAATTCTTAAAATAAATGTCTCTGTCTGTCTGTCTGTCTCTCTCTCTGTCACTCTGTCTCTATGTATACTATCAGTTCTGCTTCTCTGGAGAACCCTGACCAGTACAGAGACCAAGGGATGCAACTCAGCACACTTGGAGAGGAAGGTGGGGGGGGGGTAGGGAGAGGAGTGAGTCAGGACCTGGGATGAGCAGCCAGGCTCTGGGCTCCGGTCAGCCTTGGCTTCAGCTTCAGGTTCTTTCCAAAGCCTGGCCACATTCCTGCCCAGGGAAGATCTGTAAAACATTCTCATACCCCCAGAATAACTGTGTTGTTGTGCTTAAGCTACATTCTAATAATACTCCATTTTTCTGCATTTTCAGATTTGAAACTTTTTAACAAAGTGGCAAATAAAACTGTAATCCAGCATTTGGCAAGTTGCATAATTCACTGTCTCATTTGCTCCCATAATAGCTCCAAGCCAGACCCATTTTAACGTACAAGGGGCTTAAGAGTCATGGACAGCAAGACCTGGAGCTCCCAAAGGCTACATGCTCCTAATCAGTAGGAAGGAAAGCAGAGCCAGCACCCGAGAACGTGCTCATGGCCCTGCTCCTGCTGCCTCTAGGCACTGGGCAACCGACCTGGGCTATTTCTTAGTTTTTTCAACTCACTATGAGGTTAGTGAACTCTCACTAACCATCCCATAGGGGAACTGTGAGGATTAAGTTAGTTATTACTGCGTTACAACAGAGCTGCCTGGCACATGGTAGAGACTAAAATGTTATTTATTAGTTGTATTTCATCTATTCCTTACAAAATAACACAAAATGGTCACTATTAACCTCATCAAACAGCTGAGGAAACGGAAGAATTAAGTAACGTGCCCAACATTTTTGAAAGGAAGATATACATACGAATGGCCAACAGACACATGAAAAAATGCTCAACATCACTCAGAATTCAGGAAATGCAAATCAAAGCCACACTGAGATACCATTTTGCTCCAGTTAGGATGGCTAATATCCAGAAGACTGAGAATAATAAATGCAGACAAGGATGCAGAGAAAAAAGAACTCTCATACATTGTTGGTGGGACTGCAAAATGGTGCAGCCTTTAT